GCTTGTTCTGTGCAGCCTGGCCCGGCCTCAGGCCAGCTGTGCTGGGAAACTGCACGTTCTGATCCTCGGGGATCCTGCTCCGGGCTCAGGGATCTGCTCCAGGCTCAGGGATATGCTCCAGGCTCGGGGATCTGCCCCGGGCTCAGGGATCTGCTCCAGGCTCAGGGATCTGCCCTGGGCTCAGGGATCTGCTCCAGGCTCAGAGATCCTGCTCTGGGCTCAGGGATCTGCCCCGGGCTCAGGGATCTGCCCTGGGCTCAGGGATGCTCAGGGATTCATGGAGAGGCCAGGGAAGAAGGGATGGATATTTGGGATGGCTGGAATCTGCCCAGAATTCCTCCTCCTCCTTGTGCTGGGATAACCAAAGCGACACCGAGCCCGAGCTGAATTCCCAAATCCCAGCGCCTCTGGAGCCGGATTTGCTCCAGCACCTTCCACCCCCCACTCCCGGCTGTTTTGGGGATGGAAAGGTGGGAAGGGATTTGCTCCCCTCCCTTCACTGGGCTCCCCACGGCCACATCCGTGCCTTACATCCCGGAATTCTTTTCCCCTTCGCTCACTCCCAGCTCCAGAGCTTTTCCCGGAGCCAAGAGCTTCTCCCGGGTTCCCGGTGACGCTGTCCCGGCTCTGCCGTGCGGGGGCTGCAGGGGCTGGGCAGGAGCCTCTGCCCCGCTCCCCGCGGCCTCTGGGGGAAGCTGACCGGGATTTTCCAGCCTGGCACCACCGGGAACGCCCGGGGAGGGCGGCACGGCCCCTTCCCACCGCATCCTGCGGGAATGGAGCCATCCCAAACTGCCAGACATCCTTTTGGGGTGATCCCTGCCCTCCCTTCCCTTCTGAGGCTCGGAGGTTTTGCTGCCAAACTCCCCAAATTTGACATTTTCCAGTTTTTCCTGGTTTTTTTTGGCTGATTTTTTTGGTTTGGTTTGGTTTGGTTTTTTTTTTCTCTCTGCTTTTCTGAAATTCTTTTTTTTTTTTTTTTTTTTTTGAGCTCTCCAAATGGAATTTTGAAGATCTGGCCCTCGGAAAGATCCAGAAAGATCTTCATGGCACTGAGTGGAGGCTTGGCTTGGGGCAGGGATAACACCAGGAATCATCTCCCTGGAGCCAAAGCATCATTTTTAAGCGAATATTCCTGAGAAATCCTGGCTGGGATGTGGGGAAGATGAGCCTGGTTTGAGGACAGCTCTTTGCTCTGGAAAATTCCCATTCCTGAATCTCCTGGGCCTGGGATCGAGAGCTCCTGGCAATTCCATGACTGAGATCCACAACTCCTGGGGTCCTGTGGTGTCCCCAGGGCTGGGATTGGCAATTCCTGGTGATCCCAGGGCTGGGATTGACAATTCCTGGTGTCCCCAGAGCTGGGATTGGCAGTTCCTGGTGTTCCCAGGGCTGGGATTGACAATTCCTGGTGTCCCCAGAGCTGGAATTGGCAATTCCTGGTGTCCCCAGAGCTGGGATTGGCAGTTCCTGGTGTTCCCAGGGCTGGGATTGGCAATTCCTGGTGTCCCCAGGGATGAGATTGACAATTCCTGGTGTCCCCAGAGCTGGGATTGGCAGTTCCTGGTGTTCCCAGGGCTGGGATTGACAATTCCTGGTGTCCCCAGGGATGAGATTGACAATTCCTGGTGTCCCCAGAGCTGGGATTGGCAATTCCTGGTGTCCCCAGGGATGAGATTGACAATTCCTGGTGTCCCCAGAGCTGGGATTGGCAGTTCCTGGTGTTCCCAGGGCTGGGATTGACAATTCCTGGTGTCCCCAGGGATGAGATTGACAATTCCTGGTGTCCCCAGAGCTGGGATTGGCAGTTCCTGGTGTTCCCAGGGATGAGATTGGCAGTTCCTGGTGTCCCCAGGGATGAGATTGGCAGTTCCTGGTGTCCCCAGGGATGAGATTGACAATTCCTGGTGAGCTGTGGCGCTCCTGTAGTTTAATCCATGCAGAAAAATCCATAAAAATCAATTCCCAGGCTGCCACACCTGACAGGAGCTGCGGGCACCGTGGTCCAGGAGGGTGGATTTGGGATGCACAGAGGGGATGATGGAGGGATGGAGGGATGGATGGAGGGATGGATGGAGGGGATGATGGAAGGATGGATGGAGGGGATGATGATGGAGGGGATGATGGAAGGATGGAGGGGTGGATGGAGGGGATGAGGGCTCTCCCCCATTCCCAGCTGGAATGATGGAGTCACAGGCTGTGATGGGAATTCCCTGCTCCCACCCTGCCCTTCAACTCTGCTGCCTCTTGTCCAGCTTTCCTAAACTTGGGATGGCCAGAGTGACCAGGGGATGGTCAGGGTGACCAGGGGATGGCCAGAGTGACCAGGGCATGTCCAGAGTGACCAGAACATGTCCAGAGTGACCAGAGCATGTCCAGAGTGACCAGGGAATGTCCAGAGTGACCAGAGCATGGCCAGAGTGACCAGAGAATGTCCAGAGTGACCAGGGAATGTCCAGAGTGACCAGAGAATGTCCGGAGTGACCAGAGAATGTCCGGAGTGACCAGAACATGTCCAGAGTGACCAGGGAATGTCCAGAGTGACCAGAGCATGGGCAGAGTGACCAGAGAATGTCCAGAGTGACCAGAGCATGTCCAGAGTGACCAGGGAATGTCCAGAGTGACCAGAGCATGTCCAGAGTGACCAGGGCATGTCCAGAGTGACCAGAGAATGGTCAGAGTGACCAGAGCATGTCCAGAGTGACCAGGGCATGTCCAGAGTGACCAGGGAATGGCCAGAGTGACCAGGGAATGGCCAGAGTGACCAAGGCTCCCCATTCCCGGAGGGACACACTGGGATCCACCAGGATCCAAATTCCTCCGTGTTCCCATTCCCTCCTCTGTCCCTCCTGCTGTCCTTGGTCCCTCTGGCTGTCCCCGCTGTCCTGGCCCCGTCCCCCGGCATTTCCACACTCCGGACATTCCTTCTCTCACCTCTGCCAGACCCAGGAGGGTTCTGGCTCCAAATCCCTGTGGGAAAAGGGGATCAACCAAGGTTGGGGACACCACGGCCACCCCCAGCACTCCCTTTCCCTGTGAGAACAGATTTTGCTCCAGACAGGGAAAAAACGGTGGCCGGAGCCACGTCCGAGGTTTGAAAAATGTAAATGGGCGCCTTTGAAGGTGGAACCGAAACTTGGCCGTGGCGGGGAAAGAATTCCTGCAGGGAGAAAATTCAACAAACAAAGTCCCCTGGCTGAGAGCAGCCGCTGGGAGGGGTCGGAGCCTCCCGAATTTGGAGCTTTCCTGGTGTGGGAGCAGCTCCGGAGGTCGGGCAGAGCATGGAAAAGGTCTGGGATGTGACACCTTTCCATGCCTGGCGTGCGAGGAGCTGCCCCGTTTGGTGCCTCAGTTTCTCCCTTTCCGTGCCCGGCTGAGCAGCTGTAAATTAGCAGGAAAAAAAAAAAAATAATAATAAAAAAAAAAAATCCATGGAATCTCCACGGATTTGGGGATTTTTGGACCGGTTTTTAAAGGAATTAGTATCAAATTCCAGCAGCATCTCCTTTCCCTATTGATCCCGATCCTTTTCCAGCTGGCAAACTCGAGTCTCCATCCCGACTTTTTCTTTAAACAGCCTGGAATTCCTCCGTGGGTCCTCTCGATGCCTTTTCCTGGCTGGAATTCCATGATCCAGGAGAGGCTGTGGGATCATCCTGCTCCAGGCACCCCGCAAGGAGCAATCCCCCGGTTCTGGGGGTAAAAAACAAAAGCCCCGTGTTGGGAATAAAAACATTTAAGGCAAAACGGGGCGGTCCAGAGAGTGGGAATTTTGGGAAAAGCTCCGGTTTCGCTGCCAGCCGCTGCCAGCCCAGTGTGGAATTGCAGGAGCAGCCCCTGGCAGGGCCGGGATTGGGATTTCGAGGAGCCAGAGCAGCTCAGGTTTCCCGGTTCTGCTGCAGATGGAGAGAGGGGGATGATGGGGAGGGAGGGAGGGAGGGAGGGGGTCCTGGACCCCAAATCCCAGAGATTCCGGGATAGGGATGGCTGTGGGAGGGTGCCCCCAACTCCGGGATCTCTCAGAGCTCTGAACGAGCAACATGTCCCGGCTTCCTCTGATCCTCTCGTGGACAAAAATGTCCTTTTTGGAGCAGAAACGTCCCCCCCGAGCCTTCCTGGCCTTGTCCCCTCGGTGTGGTGCTGTTTTCCAGCCAGGAAAATCCAGTGGCCGCAGGGCAGGGGACACTCAGCTCGTGCCACCACCGTGTCACCCCCTCCCCGTCTGCACCAAGTGCCACCAGGGTTTAAATTAAAGCTCATCCCCAGCTGGCAGCAAACCAAGCCCTGCGTCCCATCCTTCAGGCTCCATCTGCCAGGGGCCGGGAAATCGGGATGTGGGGACAGCCGGGAGTCCCTGTGGGTGGCGGCAGGGGACACCCACCCGCTGGAAAACTCCAGCCCGCTCCTGGGAAAGCGGAGCCGGCGGCGCGGGCAGGGCTTATTCTGTGATTAATTAGCTTTGTTTTGAAACAAGGAGCTGCCTCGGCAGCAGCAGCAGCAGCAGCGGGAGGAGGAGGAAGAGGAGGAGGAGGAGGAGGAGGAGGAATTGTTGCCGAGCGCCAGATCCGCGTGTGCGCCGAGCCCGCCGCGCTCGGTGCCAGAGAAAGACGTGATTGTTGTCACCGTGCCTCGCTCCCAGCCCTTCCTCCCAGCGCTCCCAGTGCTCCCAGTGTTCCCAGTGCTCCCAGTGCTCCCAGTGCCCCCAGTGCTCCCAGCCCTTCCTCCCAGTGCTCCCAGTGCTCCCAGTGCTCCCAGTGCTCCCAGTGCTCCCAGTGCCCCCAGTGCCCCCAGCCCCCCCAGCCCTCCCTCACAGTCCTCCCTCCCAGCCCTCCCTCCCAGTGCTCCCAGTCCTCCGCCCCCCTCGCTCCCACCGCTCCCAGCAACAAAACCCCCGCGCCCCGGCCGGGCTCGCTCGTGGCGGAGCTGGGAGGAGGAGGAGGAAGAGGAGGAGGAGGAGGAGGCGGTGGAGGAGGAGGAGGAGGTGGAGGAGGAGGGAGAGAGAAGCCAGAGAGAAACTTGTCTTGGGGATTAATAGGAGGCAGGAGGAGGGAGAGGTGCACACAGGTAAGCTCTGGGCAGGTGTTTCCCCCCACCCAGGCTCTTCTCACCTTGCCTGAGCCTCCCAGACAGGACTCCACGATGCTCCTGCCCTCTCCAGCCTCCCTTCCATCCCCAAAAACATCTGCTCGTCCTCTTTTTTCCCCCTCTCCTCTTGGTTCTTCTGTCCTGCAGCGCTCTGGAGTCTTTGTTCTTTCCCTCTGCTCCGGTTCCAGGAGTTTCTCTCGCCGCGGGATGGAGGGGGGGGGGGGGATTTGGGGGCTGTGGGGTCGCGGGGAAGCCCCGGGGGTGTGACAGCACTGCGGCCACTGCCAGGCGCGTTTTGGGGGACACTGAGGTGCCCTCTGTGTGTCCCCCACACCCCCAAACCCAGGATCTTTGTCTCTGCAGCCAAACAGGGGGGGGCGCGGGGGCTGCAGAGCCCAAACTGGGGGCGGCGGAGGCCGGAATTGGGGGAACCGCGGGGGTCGCACAGCCCCGGCCATGGCCAGGACAATCCCCCGCCCTGGAGAGCGGGAGGGAAAACAAGCGAGGAAAGGGAGAGAGGAGGAGGAGGGACCCCTCCGGAGCCAGGAATGCCACCAGGAGCTTTCGGGGACATCGGAACACCTTGTCCTGTGCGGAACAGGGGCTGAGCAGCCGGACCCGGCTTTGGGGGGGCTCTGGGGGGCTGCTCCCATCTCCCCGTGCCGAATTGGGAACAAGGAATTTCGGAAGGGACCCGAGCGAGGTGGGAGCGAGCAGCCCGACAACTCCAGGGCCGCCTCCAAGGGGCTGCTTTTCTGCCCAAAATGTAGGTGGTAAAGCCCTGCTTTCCTGCCTGGATCGCACCGCACATTCCCAGGACACGTAATCCCACTTTTCCTGCCCGGAGCCAGCTCAGCTCCAGGTGGGCGGGGAGGTGCAGCCCCCTCCCCGCGCCCCCCGCGGGGGTCCCGTTCGGAGCTGGCTCTTTGTCCCCGCTCCGCCAGGAGACGATGGGAGGAACGAGAGGGAAATGATGTTCACCGAAATCCCGGGAAAAACGGGTTTTGTTGCTTGGAAGAGGCTCATCCCAAAGCTGCCCTTCCCCGCCGGATGGAGAGGTTTAGGGAAAAGCAGCTCCAAAGAGAAACATGGGAATTCATCCCCCTGGAGAGCGACACGCGAGGGCTTCGAAAGTTCCCTGGGATCCCGCGATCCTGGGATCCTGGGATCCCGCGATCCCGGCCCTGCCTCCTGTGGCTCCCAGAGCATCCCAGAGCTGCCTCCCGGGAAGCGCAGCGCCCTTTCCCGGGACAGCCGGAATGTGGGAATGGTATCCCCGGGGAATGAGGGATCCGCACTTCCAGCCGGGAAGAGATCAAAGCGCAGCCTTGGGAGGTTTCTCCTGCCCGTGGAAGAGGCTGGAGAGGAGGGAATGAGGCTTCGGAGCCGCTTCCCAGCCTGAGGGAGAAGCGGAGCGGGGCGAGGCGGCGGCTGGAGGGGGGAGCGGGGCGTGTGTGGGGTCCGGGCCGGCGGCGCTTTGGCAGCGGCTCCTGCCAGGATCCGCTTTTGTCCCTGTCCAGCCATTCCCACTGCGTGTGGCAGCGGGATCCCAGCCGGGAGCGGCGCTGGGAAGGGTCGGGACACGCAGGGAAGGAGGAATTGCTGACACCCAGAAAGCAGCGGGAAGGTGCTCCCTGCCAGGGCCGCCTTCCCACGGGCGCTGCCGCGGGAGGAGGGAGCAGAGGACGGGATGAACCCTTGGGAAGGATCCCGGGGACCGAGAGAACCCGGGAACAGAGGACGGGATGTACCCTTGGGAAGGATCCCGGGGACTGAGGGAACCCGGGAACAGAGGGAACCCGGGAACAGAGGACGGGATGAACCCTCGGGATGGATCCCGGCGACTGAGGGAACCCGGGAACACAGGAAAGGATGAACCTTTGGATCGGGAGCCCCGCGCTGTTGTCTCCCTGTCCTGGCTGAGCCCTGGCGGGTGTCCCCCATCCCTGCATGGACACAGCGCCTTTCCCAGCGGGAATGCGGCAGGACCGAGTCCCGGCTCCAGCCCGGCTCCGCTGCTCTCTGGGAAAGGGCGAGAACCGCGGGGTTGTTGCATCAGGGTTGCGCTTCCCAAGGGACTCAGGCGACGCCCGGGTGACAGCCTGGCTGCCCTCCCCCTTTTCCACGATTCCCAGCGCTCCAGAGCCTCTGGATAACGAGCTCCGCGTTGGGCCAGGCTCTCGCAGAGACACGAGCGGGGTTGGACGCCAGGGAGGCCAAGGAATGAGCTTTGCCCGATCCTCGTGGTTATTTTTATCTTGCTCTCCCTGTTCTGCTCCGACATTCCCGCTCCCAGGCTGGAAGGAGGCTTTTCCCCCACCAGGGATGCTGGGAATTGCGGGAATGTACGAGAGGAGCTAACAACGGGCTGGAAAGGGGCCCTACTCCAGCCATCCAAGCTTTTCCTGCCTCTCCCAGAGTTCAAATTCCCTTTATCCCTCTGCGGGAGCTGGATCTTGGACAAATATCCGCATCCAGCTGCTCCCTCTCCCCTCACCGCTGCAGGAGGCACCCGAGGGACAGCGCGGGGGCTTCAGCCCGTGACGAATCCCCCGCACCGGGGCGACCTTTGTGCCGCTCCCTCTCGCCCGGGGTGGCGGCTTCTCCCTGCCCTTGGCTCCCATCCCGGGGCTGGCAGCCAGCGCCGCTGGGAGCTGGGGGTTACTGGGATGCAGGGAAGAGAAACTATGAGCAAAGCAAACCCCAGCGGCGTTCGGGGCTGGAATTTCCAGCTGCTGCGGCGATTTTTAATTTATTTTCTTTTATTGTCCGTTCTGACTGGGGCAGCTGAGGGAGCAGCTGGCTCCTTCTGGGAAAAACCCCGGGACCTGTTGGGTGCCTTGGTCTTGCAGCCAAACCGAGCTCAGCGGCTCCGGAGGTGTCAGGACTGGTTTTATCCATGAATTGAGCCTTTTTTCCATGCCAGGCCGTCGGTTTCCTGAATTCCTCCGTTGCTCCATGACTTAACTTTGTTCCAGTGGCACGGATTCCTTGTGGGCAGCTGGAATCGGAGCTGTCCCGTCGGTCGGGAGCGAGGGCGAAGCTCGGGAGGGGAGGTTGGCAGAGCAGGGGCCGTGCTGGGGCTCCAGTCGGATCAGGGGGATCGGGAATTCGGCTCCCGGCATCCACGCCAGTAAATTCGACTGGATGGAGAACAGACTTCCAGCTTTTCCGGATCCAGGGGGGGCTGGCTTGGAACCTCCCAGCGGCTCGGAGGCGATTGTGACGCTTGTGGTGGCCTCGGGCTCGTCGCATCCCTGTTTTTTTGGGAATGTCACCGCTTTCCTGCAGTTTGCTTGGAAGTGGGTGCTGCTTTCCCCAGGCAGGCTGGGGACCCGCCCCGGGGAGGGGTGGTGGCAGTGCCATGGGGCTGGGACAGTCCCCACACGGATGTGGGGCGGGGTCGGCCTCCCGCCACAGGAGCCGAGTGACAAAATTCCACAGGATTTTGTCACTCTCCAGCCGGGATTCCTGGCTCTGGTGGCTGTTCCCGCTCTGTGCCGAGTCCCCAAACATCTGGGATGTCAAATCCTCCTGTGGAGGTGACGGGGCAGCCTCAGCGGGGTGACAGCACTGCCCTGGCCCCCACCCTGCTGGGACATTGCTGGGTGGCCTGAGTGGGTCCAACACCTGGATCACAGCGTGTCCCAGCCGGAATGTTGTGTCCTGGATGGAAGATCACGTCCCAGCTGGAATATCACCTCCCAGCCGGAATATCACCTCCCAGCTGGAATATTCTCAGCGCCCGACACTCCCCTGGGTGTTTGTGGGGGCTAAAATCCAGGTTCTGGAGCAGAGGAACCCCCTGGAAAGTTCTGGGACCCCATGGAAAGCTCTGGAACATCATGGAGCGAGATCCATGTGCTGTGGCCAGGGAAGGAGCGGGATGCTGGAGGAATGGGAAGGGCACCGCACAAACAGCAGATCCCATTTTCCCATTTTCCAGACACTGAATCCAGAATGCAGGGACAGGATCGCATCCATCCCCAGCCAGGACCTGCTGCAGCTCTGCTGGGCTCAGGATCCGGCGGCTCCGGGCTCCGCTGGCTCCTTCGCTGCTCCTCCCTTCCCCCAGCGAGATGCCAGAGCCCTGATGGAAAGCAGCCGGCTCGGGAGGCGTGCGGGGTTAACCAGAGCCAGATGGAGCCGGGAGGAACAGGCTGGGCCTGCAGGGGGGGCGAAAACGGGATCTTTTCCTGGAGAAAATCAATTCCTGGGAGCCCCAGGAAAGCGTGGGATCGCTCCGAAGGGAGCTGGGGCTGGCAGAGGTGGGGCTGAAGAGGGTGGCACATCCAGGGTGGGATGCAGATCCTGCTGGGGGTTGGTGTGGCCCGCTCCACGTTGGGTGGAGGTTTTTCCCTCTCCAGGGATGATGGAAATTGGGGGTTCCAGGTGTGAGGAGAGCTGGAAATGGGCTGGAAAAGGAGGGTGGACAGCGAATCCCACTCTGCTGTGCTGGATGGGAGAGCTGGAAGTGTCGCATTTCCCTCCAAAATTGGCACCAGCAGCCCCAGGGGCACCAAAGGCTTCTCCCATCTCAGCAGCACTTTCCCTTTTTCACTTTCACTTCCATTTCCCTTCTTCCTTTGGTTTTCCTCATGTTCCTCCCTCTCCCCTCTCTCCGTGCTCCTTCCCACCCTTCCTCTGCCTTGCCCGGCATCCGGCTCAGCTCTGATCCTGCCTGGGTGACGAATCCCGCTGGGAAAAGCCTGGTGAGCCCCCTCTCCTTGTGTCCCCTCAGGAAAACACCTGGACCATGAAGGTGGCCCTGGCCTTCCTTCTCCCACTCGTGCTCGCGCTGGTGCCGGCGGCCGGCGGGCAGCGGCGGAAACCCCCGCGCAGACCCACCCGGCCGCCCGCGCCCTTCGAGGAGCCGGCCGAGCCCACCGAGCTGCCCCCTCCCCTCCCTCCGGGCCCTCCGTCCATCTTCCCCGACTGCCCCCAGGAATGCTACTGCCCTCCGGACTTCCCGTCGGCGCTGTACTGCGACAGCCGCAACCTGCGCACGGTGCCGGTGATCCCGCCCCGCATCCACTACCTGTACCTGCAGAACAACTTCATCGCCGACCTGCCCGAGGAGTCCTTCCGCAACGCCACCGGCCTCAAATGGGTCAACCTGGACAACAACCGCATCCGCAAGGTGGACAGGAAGGTGCTGGAGAAGCTGGAAAACCTCATCTTCCTCTACATGGAGAGGAACCAGCTGAAGGAGGTGCCCGCCTTCCTGCCGCCCAACCTGGAGCAGCTGCGGCTCAGCAGGAACCAGATCTCCAAGATCCCCAGCGGCGTCTTCAACAAGCTGGAGAACCTGGTGCTGCTGGACCTGCACCACAACAAGCTGAGCGACGGCGTCTTCAACAAGAACACCTTCAAGGGGCTCAAGAACCTCATGCAGCTCAACCTGGCCCACAACATCCTGAGGAAGATGCCCCCCGGCGTGCCCAGCGCCATCCACCAGCTCTTCCTGGACAGGAACAACATTGAGGACATCCCCAGCGATTATTTCAAGGAGTTTCCCAACCTGGCCTTCATCCGGCTCAACTACAACCAGATCTCGGATAAGGGGCTGCCCAAAAATTCCTTCAACCTCACCAACCTGCTGGTGCTGCACCTGGCCCACAACAAGCTCACCAACGTGCCCTTCATCAGCTCCAAGCTGGAGCACCTCTACCTGAACAACAACTCCATCGAGAGTGAGTCCCAGGGGCTGGCTGGGGCATGTGGGGAGTTTTTTTTGGGGAAAAACCTTGGAAAGGTCATTTCTCGCCCGGTGGGATGTGATCCCTTCAAAGGGGGAAGCGGCGGTGGGATGAGGTGGGAGCTGCAAGGGTCTGGGGGGGAAGGGGAGGAGCAGAGTGAAATCCACCCCCCCCCTGGTGCTGCAGGATTTTTCCTGGTTGTCTTCTTTGGGGCCACCTGCTCTTGGAAGAGCTCTTTCCCTGGAGAAAATCGGGATGTTTAACGAGGAGAGCCTGGGCACGTATTTCAGGACCAGATGCCAAACACACAGCTCGGGATGGTGAGGAAATATCCCAGCTCGGCTCCCGAGCGGAGCCGTGCGGGGAAGGAATGGGGAGAACAAGGCAGGGCAGCCAAGGCTGCTTCACACCATTCCAGGGAAATACAGCTGCAATTCCATGGGAGAGGAGCCTGGGATGTGTGGAAAGAGGGCAAGCACAGAGGAGGAGACAGAATCCCACTGCATTCCCATTTCGGCACCCAAAGGGGCTCCAGGAGAGCTGGAGGTGGACTTGGGGTGAGGGATGGAGGAACAGGACACAGGGAATGGCTTCCCAGTGCCAGAGGGCTGGGATAGATGGGATATTGGGATGAAATTCCTCTCTGGGAGAGATGTGAGGGTCTGGAACGGAATTCTCAGAGCAGCTGTGGCTGCCCCATCCCTGGAGGTGTCCAAGGCCAGGCTGGATGGGGCTTGGAGCAGCCTGGGATAATGGAAGGTGTCCCTGGGTGATCTTTATGTTCCCTTCCAACCCAAACCATTCCAGGATTCCTGGTCTCCCCTGATGTTTCCACTGTTGGATCTCCAGGACCCTGCTGTGATCACATCCAGCTCCAACGCTCATTAATCTGAATTTTAATCAAACACCACAAAATCTGAGCCGGGAGGGACCTCGGGCTGCAGGTGGTGACTCCTGCTGGCTCCCCACACTCCCAGCATCCAGGTCCTGCCGGTGCTTTCCATGGACAGAAATCCTGTGCACGCCCTGACCCAGCTTCTCCTCTTCTGTTTCCCCGGTTTTTAAAAGGTTCCCATCCCTGGGGCCAGGTTCTGACATCAGAATCCCGGGGTTTATTTTCCATAACACAGGCCCCAGCTGGCCAGGGACACGTGGAATTCCAGAGGCGAGAACGAGCTGGGTGCTGACGTTATCTCCGGCGTGACGGGGCTGGAGCAGGATTCCTTGATGTTTTTTTGGGAAGCTCAGGGCTGGCTCGGCAGGTTCCGGGAGAGGGATGATCCCTTTTCTCCCTGGAATGTCACCGCATCCCTCACCACGCTCCGGAGGAACGTGACCTACTTCGCTCCTGATGAAAAGCCAGATTCTCCCTCTCGCTGGGGCTTTGGGAACAGCCTGGGATTGTCCCTTTTGCTGGCAAAACAGCCCCAGTTTGGGGTTCAATAACGGGGAGGGTTCAAAAATCCCCATCCACATTCCCTTTTCCCTAACCTACATCCCTCTGTTCCTCCTGTCCACATTCCCTTTTCCCTAACCCGCTGTTCCTCCTTCCCACAATCCATTTTCCCGAATCTACATCCCTCTGTTCTTCCTTCCCACATTCCTTTTTCCCTAACCTGCATCCCATTCTTCCTCCTGTCCACATCCCCTTTTCCTCAACCCTCTTTTTCCTCCTTCCCACATTCCCTTTTCCCTAACCCGCTTTTCCTCCTGCCTCCATTCCCTTTTCCCTAACCCTCTGTTCCTCCTCTCCACATTCCCTTTTCCCTAACCTGCATCCCGCTCTTCCTCCTGTCCACATTCCCTTTTCCCAACCCCTCTTTTTCCTCCTTCCCACATTCCCCTTTTCCCTAACCTACATCCCGTTCTTCCTCCTGCCTCCATTCCCTTTTCCCTAACCTACATCCCGCTCTTCCTCCTTCCCACATTCCATTTTCCCTAATCTACAACTCTCTATTCTTCCTGTCCACATTCCCTTTTCCCTAACCTGCATCCCGCTCTTCCTCCTCTCCCCACAGAAATCAACGGCACGCAGATCTGCCCCACCTCGCTGGTGTCCATCCAGGATTTCTCTCCCTCCGACCTGGACAGCGTCCCGCGGCTCCGCTACCTGCGGCTGGACGGGAACCTCCTGAAGCCGCCCATCCCTCTGGACCTGATGCTGTGTTTCCGCCTGCTGCAGTCCGTGGTGTTTTAGCCTCTCCCAGGCCCGGCTTTGCTCGGACATTTCACCCCCGGCGGCGTTTGACACGTGGGACCCTCTCTCCTCCCTCTCCCCCCTCTCCCTCCGCATCCCTCTCCCCGCTCCTCCCTTTCCTCCCCTGCAGGGACAGCCTTGGGGACCGCTCTCTGCAGGACAGCGCCGTGTCCCGGCTGCCACCCCAGCTCCTGTCCTTGTCCCCGAGCCCCCGAGCCGGCTCCGTCCGTCCCTTGGCACCCAGCAGAGTTCTGGGCGCGTTGGGTTCGCTCTGGATGGAGCTGCTGGAGGAGCTGGGCTTGGAGCGTGTCCCTGCTCCTGGGGAATGATTCCCGGTGGATTTTGGAGGCTGGACTGGCCTGGAGGGCGGGTGGGATCCATGGAAGTGGAGCGAGGATGGGCGATGTGGCCGTGCCAGGGGATGGGGACACTCCTGTCACCTGGGCCCTTCTGGAGAGCTTTGGCTCCACATTTCCCTGGAGGAGGAGGATCTAAATCCCTCCTGGAGCTGTGGATTTGCCGGGATGGAGCAGGGAGGGTGTCCTGCCCCTGGATCCTGCGCCCTGCGTGGGCCGCACCTTCCCACACCCCCTGGGCAAGACCCGCCCCTTCCCGGCTTCAAATCCCCCATCCCAGCACCGATCCATGGGGTCCCAGCCCCACCCCAAAATCCTGCACCTTTCCCTGTGAAATCTGGGATATCGGGCCACATCCACGGGGCCACAGCCCCATCCCAGCATCCTGAATCCTTCCCTGTAAAATCGGAGGATGCAGGGACACATCCATGGGGTCACAGCCCCATCCCAAAATCCTTCACTCTTCCCTCTGAGGATTCAGGGCCAAATCCACGGCTCAGTTTCTCTCTGGAGCCAATCACACATGACTGGGTTTTGCCCTTTTTTTTTTTTTTTATTAGAAATAAAAGGAAGGGGAAAGAAAAGGGAAGAATTATCCTTTGGAAGAGCTATTTTTATCCCTTCTCTTCCTCGTCCTCACATGTATCGCTTCCCCCTTCCATAGCTGTACCTGCATTTATAGGGTGTCCGGGTTTAGGGGGGATTATTCTCTTCTCTTCTTCCTGAGTCTCAGGATTTGGATTTAAAGGCCGAGCATTAGAGAGGGAAAAAAAACAAAACAAAATCCCACTGCAATGAGCATTAAATAAACCAAAGAAAGCTCCTTTGTGTCCAGCCAGCAGAACTGACCCTTCCCGGGATGGCCACGGACGGGCACCGTGTCCCTCTCCCTGCGGATGGCACAGGGATGCTCCCCTTTCCCCCTTAATTAAAACCTCGTGCTAATTAAGGAGGTTTTTCCAGACGATCAAATCCCTTTTCCAGCTCTCCCTGCAGTCGGGTGGGACAGGTTCCAGCCCTAAACCCGGACGGAGCCCCCGATAAATAGGATTTATCTATATTTATATCTGATGTGTATATAGACTGGTAGAATGTACAGATATTCCTAGAGCCACGTGTGCCTCCCAACCCGGCAACTTTATGGGATTTTCACTCCCACTCCCTGCAGCAGTGGAAATAAAATCATTCACAAGGGTCCCCGAGCTCTCCCTGATCCATCCTCGCCTTCCTCAGGCTCTGCTTCGTCCAGCAGCAATATTTCCTTGCTTGGGGACAGCTCTCCCAATATTTTTGGGGGGTTGGTGGGTTTGGGGTTTTGGCTGCAGTGATGTTGAATTTGGGAAGGAATTCTTGTCTGGGAGGGTGGGGAGGGGCTGGGATGGGATTCCCAGAGAATCCGTGGCTGTCCTTGGATCCCTGGAAGTTTCTGGGGCCAGGCTGGAGCAGCCTGGGGGGGTGGAAGGTGGTGATGGAGTGGGATTTAAGGTGCCTTGACCCCAAACCAGGGTTTGAGGGGTTGGGCTCACAGCCCTGGAGTCAAAGGCAGTGTCACACGCTGCTGTCACCCCAGCAGAAGGTGACACCGAGCGTCGGGACAGGTGACAGCCATGAGCTGCTCCCGTGGCACCAGGGGAACTCCTAAAAACCTCCCTGGGGTGATTTTCCCGGTGGGAGCAGCATGGAGATCTCCAAAGCCGCTCTCCCACCCCTGGCAGCTGCCAGGATCCATCACGGGGTTCTATGGGATAACATCCCAAAATCCTGCATCCACATCCATGGGATAACATCCCAAAATCCTGCATCCACATCCATGGGATAACATCCCAAAATCCTGCATCCACATCCATGGGATAACATCCCAAAATCCTGCATCCACAAGCACGGGATAACATCCCAAAATCCTGCATCCACATCCATGGGATAACATCCCAAAATCCTGCATCCACATCCATGGGATAACATCCCAAAATCCTGCATCCACATCCATGGGATAACATCCCAAAATCCTGCATCCACAAGCACGGGATAACATCCCAAAATCCTGCATCCACATCCATGGGATAACATCCCAAAATCCTGCATCCACATCCATGGGATAACATCCCAAAATCCTGCATCCACAACCACGGGATAACATCCCAAAATCCTGCATCCACATCCATGGGATAACATCCCAAAATCCTGCATCCACATCCGTGGGATAACATCCCAAAATCCTGCATCCACATCCGTGGGATAACAGCTCCATCCCAGCATCCACATCCTTCCCTGTAAAATCTGGGATGCAGACCCCCATCCCTGGGGTCGCATCCCACCTCCACGGTGCTCTCCCAGCCCCGGCAGCCGAGGGGATCCGGGCTCGGGCTGCGCGTGTTCCCACACGAGCCGGGTGGGCGGCGGCAGCGGCTTCTCCTCCCGCGCGTCCCCTCAGCGTCCTCAAAGCCGCTCCTGCTGCCGCTGCCCCCACGCGAATCCCGAGTGGAGAGGGAGGACGGCTGTGGGGGAAGGTGTGAGGATGTGGGATGAGGCGTGGGGATGCTGCCGGGAGGGGCTGAGCGGCTTTGGGTGCGGCTGTGGGGCCGCCCCTCCCAGCCCCGATGTTTCGTAACCGGAGCGTGAATCCCCCAGTCGCGGCGGGGTTTTTTTCCCTCGCTCGGGATGTCAGACCCTTCTCCCACGGGAGCTGAGCACCCCAAAACTGCTCCCTGCAAACCCTCGGTGCTCCCCCTCGGGATTGGGGCTGAGAGTTTGGGAAGCTGCTCCTGTGGGGTGACGGGGAAGGCTGCCATTAGTGGTGTTAACCCCACATTAGAGGGGTGGGGACTCCTCAGCTGCTGTTCCCAGTGCTGGGAAGGTTCTGGATCCCCCAGGGGTTGGGATCAGGGGGAATTCTGGCTCCAGTCAATCCCCCCTCGCAGCTGGTGATGCCCCAACCCCATCTGTGGGTGCCGAACAGGGACCCCCCGCTCTGAGAGGCTTGGCACCCACCCTTCGGGGGATGCTGGGCGCTCAGGGACTTTTGGGACGGTGGCAGGCGCGGGGACCTTCCAGGTGACACCGACCATGCAGGGAACGCTGACGGGGGACAAGGGGAGGCTGCTGCTTGTGGGGACAAGGACAGGACATCATTCACGGGGACAGCACAGAAAAGCAAAGACCCCAAAGACCCCATAGCCCTGGGGACCCTTCAGTCCTGGGGACCCTTCACCCTTCGGGGAGCCTTCAGTCCTGGGGACCCTTCACCCCTCGGGGACCCTTCAGTCCTGGGGACCCGGGCCCAGCCCCTTTCCCCTGGCAGCGCTGTCGCCCCCCGAGCTGCCACATCGCCTCCGTCACGGTGGCCACCGAGCCGCCTAATGAGGGGCTTAATGAAGATTAGCGGCCGCTCCGTGCTGAGCGGGGCTGTCCTGGCCGGGGCTGGGGGGGAGCACGGGGTGGGCTGGGGGCGCTGCGGATGCCGCCGGTGCCCACGGGGGGCTGGGGGGGCTGCGGGGGTGTCCCCGGCCGCCCCTCGAGCAGATGGGTGCTCCGGGAGGGTGGGTGGTGCGTGGGGGGCGATGCGCCGCTGGCGACAGGAACATTTTCGCGGCCGTGGGTGGGCACGAGGCTGCCCAGGAGGGGCTGCCGTGCTCGCTCTGCCCCTCCTGGGGAGTCCCAGCCCCGCGGTGACATCCCCCAGGAGGGGGGTGGCCCCCCGAGATAAGCCCTGGCCGGCGGTGGGGGGGTCTGTGCAGCCCCCCAAACCCTGGGCTGGGGTCCTCCTGGTGCTTTGGGGCGTCCCCGGGGCCGGACCCAGCTTGGGGTCCCTCTTTGGTGGCACCAGCTGGGGTGGCGCTGGCTTTGTCGCCCTGCCCAGAGCCGTGTCCCCCTGCCTCTGGGGACACCAGGGAGCCATCAGCGCTCGTCCCCCTCTTCTGCCGCCCCTCTGAGCCCCAGCCCGGGCTGGAGCAGAGCCACCACCAGGGCCGGCTGGCCCTGGCGACAATGTAAGGTCGCAGCAGGGGACCGCCGGTTTGATTGGCCGCATCCTGCCTGTCCCCTCGGCCGGACCCCCAGAGCAGCCCCCCTCCTCCTCCTCCTCCTCCTCCTCCTCCTCCTGTCCGTGCTTTAAAAGCCCGGCAGCCCTTCCCCAGCAGCTCCCCCAGCCCCTGCCGCCGAGCGGGGCTCTCCACGCCGAGGAGGAGGAGGAGGAGGAGGAAGAGGAAGGACAGGGGGTACGTCGGTGCCGGCTCCCTTTGGTTCCTCCAGAGCCCCCCCGGGCTGGGGCAGTTGGGGAATGGGAGGGTTTGGGGGGGTGCCAGGGGGCTCAGCGCACTGGGAAAAGGCGGATCTAGGGGGAAACAGCAAGAATTTGGGAGCAGCATCCTCAGGACGGAGAGAAAAATCTCTGGGCTGAGTGGTGGATTTGGGATTTGGCATTTGGGATTTGGGTTGGGAGCCTCCCCCCACTCTGCCGTGGGTGTCCCATGGGAGGGAAGCCCGGAGGGAGGGAATTCTGTGGGAATGCGCCCTGGAGGTTCTGGATGTGGAGCTGCGAGGACTGGGGGGCTCCCCGTGCTGTCGCACGGATCCTGCGGCCTCTGGTTCCCCAGGATGTTGGAGAAGCAGAATCCCGGGATTCCGAGACCTGGATGTGGGAGCAGAAGGGGGGAGCAGCAGTTCCAGGGGCGGCTGGTTCCCCTCGGCTGCTGCTGGGCCAGGGACCGGACCCCCTCCCCATCTCCCGACCCCCTCATCACTCCCCGACCCCCTCATCACCCCCGACTCCCTTCCCATCTCCCAACCCCCTCCGCACTCCCCTGGGCTGGGAAAGCCGGGAAACACCGGCCGGGCCTCTCCTGCACAGCCGAGCGTGAAATGGGCTGAAAAGGGTCACCGAACAACCCCGGGGCTGGGGGCTGTCTGTCCCCTCTGGGGCTGGGGGGTTCCCTGTCCCCCCCGGGTCTGGGGGCTGTCTGTCCCTCCCCGGGGCTGGGGGGTGTCTCTATCCCCCCGAGGCTGGGGCTCTGTCCCCCCGGGGCTGGGGGCTGTCTGTTCCCCCCGGGCTGGCTCAGCCGCATCCCTGCCCCGCATCCATCCAGCTCTCGGTGCCCGTTCCAGGCCCCATCCCTCGGCGCGGTGACCCTGGCCGGGCGCAGGATGTGTCCCCTGGGCTGGCTGGGAGTGGCCAGCCTGTGCCTGGGGACGCTTTGGGCTGTCCCAGCCAAGGAGAGGAGGAAGGCGGAGAAGCCCAAGGCTGACCTGACCCTCTATGAAAACCCTGATTCGGACAACTACGACCTGACCTTGGATAACTACGGGGAGATCCTGGACCTGAGCAACTACGAGGAGCTCTACGACTACGGGGACCTTGTCCCGAAGGTGAGGGGGACGCAGGAGAGCCCCTGGGTGCATCCCGGGACAGGGATTTGGTGCCAGGGATGGATGTGGCACCGCAGGACGAGCAGCCTCTGGCAGCAGCAGCAGCAGCCCTGGCAGCTCTCCCGGTGCTGGGGAAGGTTTTACCCGAGCCAAACCTCTGCCAGCTCTTTGTCCCCCTGCCAGCGCCTGGATGTGAGGATTCTTTCATCCCTCTGGGCCAGGAGGGGTCCTTGGAGAGCTTGGAGAGCTTTCCAAGAAGGAATTCCTAACCCCAACCCAGTGCCTGTGACCCCGGGGCGGGACGTCACCCACCCTCACGCCCAGCTGTGTTTGCAGATCGAGGTTGGCACCTTGGCTCCTCGCCCCAAGGACCCCAAAACCCACCCAGAGCTGAGTGAAACCACAGCTGGAACCCCAAAGCAGCCCCCGAGCGGCGCTGGCCCCACGCCCCCAGCTCCCATCCCCGGGCAGGGTGAGTTGTGTTCCCTCGGGATGCATCCCCACATCACAGGGGTGGAGGTTTTTTGGGGAAAAAAAGGGAATTCTTGTGCTGCCAGCAGCTCTTTGCAGGGTTTTGGGGTTGAGTCTGATCACACAGCGAGGCAGGAGGGCGACAGAGAGAGAAATTTCTGGGAAAAAAACAACTCCAGCAAAGCAGTGATGCTTTAACGAGCAGAGGCTTTGCCACAGTGGCAATTAAATTAGCAACAATTAAAATCCTGGAGCGAGGATAAATATCTTTATCCCTTTTCTGTCACTCCAGACCGGGACAAATTAAGTGGGAGGAGAAAGGAAATCTGTGCTGAGCTGTTTTGAACCCCCCCCGGAAGGGAT